CTACGACCAGAAACACAACAATATTCAACCCCTCTCTACAACCAAAGCAGCGGAGGAATCCAAGATTCAAGTTCACTTTTGCGAAACTACTGCACGGAAATGAATGAAATTCTCCATTGGTGGTCCTCCAAGAGCGCGATTGACACTGATGCAACAGCTGATGATAGCTCTTTGAAATCCCATGAAGAAAATGGTCACTCAGACCAGCAAGCTTCACATCTGACCGGTAACTCGCTGGTATGTGACACTCCCAAATCTGAGGCTTGTATGGACCTTTCGCAGCATTCGCACTTTGGGGGACGAAGCGTGTCGTCATCCTTCAGTGTCCCAGAATCACTGTGAAATGACAGACGATCCGCTGTCACAAAGCGACACTCTCTTTCCATCCATTCAGGATGACGAGAAAGAAAACGCTAACATTGTGCATCTCGGGGTTGCAGATGGCTCCGACCAAGAGGACATGCGAGCGACGGCGCAGGAACAACATGAAGAAGTTACGCGCCTCTTGTATCAGACACAAGACATGGCCGAAAAGGTCGCCTCTCTTGCGGAAACGTCCTGTACCGAAGAAGAAGAAGACGAGGAGGGTAATGAAACTGACCACGATGACGAATGCACCGGACCACTCCTTGAAGTGGTTGAAGGTTGGCTGAATGCACCTCGTGGCGGGATTCGACGACGACGTCGAAAGAAGCTTCATTCCAACATTCACAATAAGAGCCCTTCAGACCAGGAAGTTCCAAGCTCCTCGTTGCTACAATTGCGCTGGCAAGATTATGCTCACCTATGGTTTCGTCGCCATCGAATGAGTTTCGAAACGGCCATTGTTAGGCGTTGCTTGGTCCCAGTTCTGCCACTTCCTGCGCTTCTTCATCTCATGAATCGGCCCAAGCTCACCCGTCAACTTGTTTGGGGTACAATCCTCCTGGCTATGCTTGGATTCCCTTTGATCCTGTGGCTCTATTTCCCACAACGGGTGCTTGCTCCAGTATCTGTTCAGCCAAAATTGGACCTCTTCTTGCAACACCCGTACTATACCTCCGAGCTGCACTACTCCTTGCACGCGATTCGTCCCCTTGCGGGTGAAACCACTTCTACATTCTTCGAAAGTGACTCTGATTATGATTTCCTTTGAAATATTGGACCTCATAACTGGTCAGCTGTCGGGTTGATACCCAATCTAATATGTACATCTATTATAGCTACTACGAAAAGTTTATATTCACAATCATGACTGCTAGATTCTCTTAATTAACTACCGTATGGGCTTTTGACTTGCTTGCTTGATTATTCTACCTTCGATCGAGCACTTCCATCATTCCTTCGTGTCAATCGCTTCAAGACAGTCCAAGGAATCGTTGGAACTGCCATAAAGAGAATCACGATTATCTCATAGAACAGGCTTCCCAGGTCGGAACGAATCACTGTAGAGGTAGTGGGTCCTCCCTTCAGCCCCGAATCATAAAAGATATCAGTGTCAGGATTGAGATTGGGAAGTAGCTCTGTCATGACCATAGCAACAGGCAGCATGGCGCGCTCTCCTGATTCCCAAATGCATTCATGACACTTGGAGCATCTGCCCCTTGACATGGCCAAGAGACCACCTAGTGATGTAGATTGTTCATATTCAATATTCTCTTCTCCCTCCAGGGCCACATTCCACTTGAAAACGGCCCCTCCACCATGATAAGCAGCTGGCTCGGAACGGTGCCTGCTGGCAAAGGCACGACAATGGGAACAGTGGCAGTTGTAGGTCAAGAACGGCTTGGTGTCAATGGCGATCGAGACAGACCCGCATCGGCACTTGCCAGATGAATGAGCAACCATTGCTTTTCAAAAACCAAGTGGATGCAGCTCCTATTGCAGTATCCAAGCGTGAGCCAAGAATAGCAGCACCACTGGTCTGTAAAATTATGGTTAGCGGGCGGCAACACACGACGAAGTCGGGTGTTATAATGAAGGAATGATACCGGGCGGCAACACACGACGAAGTCGGGTGTTGCCGCCAGGGCTACCTTGAAAGAAGGGTGCAATCTCAAACATGTTATCATTCTTCTATCTGTCTTTCTGCCGAGGTATCGCAGCTCCCGCTGACTTAAATGCTATTTCCTATTTCCTATTCCGGTGAAGCCAAAGTATTTGGTCTCCCAGACCAGGCTCCTTTTGGTTTCCCCCTCAGTTGCACTCTGAAATCGATTGGCTCGCGTTCACTGTGTAAATTAGTGTACCCGCACTTCAGTTGCAGAATCAACGGTCATGTGTATCGTTAAGTAACAATTTCCCTTTCGAAATGTTTAGATTGATTCGTGGAAAAAAGAACCGTTGAAGTTACTAAGGTTAAAGTTAAACAGTACCGCACTACTGGTACTGCCCGAATCTATCCTCTCACCATTATTGAACGCACAGCGCTGACTTCTCTCCCTCATTGAATTCCTATGGTAAACAGGAGAGAAATACCAGCTCGGCCGACAAGAGTACTCCTCGTGGTTGAATCGATCGACGATCGAATCGATCGCAATGAGGTAAGCCTATTATCAAGAGTGTTTTAATTGAAGGTACAGCGCTGACTTCTCTCCCTCATTGTATTCCTATGGTAAACAGGAGAGAATTCCAAGCTCGGCCGTCAACAGGTGAGTGAGTTGTTTTAATTATTCGAATCGAGTCGGTCGCACCTCTATTCTCTCTACTATCAAGCCTCACTCAAGCCGGCTGTCTCTGGTGCAGATTCGAAAGCCATCCCTCATTGAATCCTATGGACCATGGGATGGCAGTCAGTTCTCAGCCATGGACGGCCAAGTTGGAGAACAAGGATAAGTCGCCGGTTTTCTTCAGTGTCAGAATAGAAGAGAAAACCATAGCTATTTCTTACTTTCTCTTCTCTTACTGCTGACGGCCGGCGAACTACCATTGTCGAGTCCTTTTCGGTCGCTCCGGACAACAAGAGGAGAGGCTTCGATCGATCGCTACAAACAAGAGGATGCTCTGTTAACTCCAGCCCTATCACCAGCCTGAACATCGTCGAGTCATTGAATGGCAACAGTCGTCAACCGGAGGAGGAGGCTATACGACACACGACAACACACAAGAGAGTGGATCCTCCTACCGGATTCATCCCTTCTTGTTATTTCCTACTGTTTTGGTGATGATTCCTGTGTCGGTACCCATTTTCCTGTATGCGCAAGTCAAGTACTGTTGCCACTAGCTATACGGCTATACGGCAGCCGGCTACAATGGCTGGATTGACAATATTCGGTTGTGTGTGTATTCGTCATAAAGATCCAATGCGAGGTAACCGAGTGCAGCGAGCAAAGTCGAATCTGAGTGTGTTCGGTACTGTTGCCACTGTCACCGATCGATGAACTCTACGATAGCTGGCTACGATGGCTGGATTGACAATTTTCGGTTGTGTATGTATTCGTCATAAGGATCCAATGCGAGGGACCGGTAACCGTAGCGAGCAAAGCCGAACTTTCGGTACTGTTGCCACTGTCGTCGATGTAGCTATACCGCAGCCGGCAACAATGGGTGGATTCATAATGTTCGGTTGTGCATGTAGTCTATTCGTCATAAGGATCCAATGCAATAAGTTTCTAGAAGGTTCAGTTCCAGTACTGAAGTAGTGGACTGGGTCTCGCTGAAACCCTTCCTCAGGGACAGCGGTAGTCAGGCAGTTCAGGGAGCCTTGTCGTGCCTCAGGAGTATTCCAACACCTCCAGTAGGCACCAAACCAAGGACTTGGCCCTCGTGGGGAGCGATAACTTTTAGGAGCGAGAGCTCTGGATCCCGTCAGAGATAGCCCAACAGCTATGCTGGCCTACAGCTCCAGCCCCCGCAGCTGGCTTATCTCCAGCCAAAGCAGCAAGAAAGGATCGTCCTTTCTACCATAGTTAAGAAAATAGTACGAAAGATTGAGACCGATCCTGTTAGCTTGTAGCCCCTTTTGATACCGCAGCAGTTGATACAATCCTGTTGAGGCCGGGCAGAAGCAGTAGGAGGTAGCAGATAGTACTGTTCCCAGACTGCCACTGCACGATTGAATAACGAAGGCCCCCAGCTCCTGAGGGAGCTGGCCAAAGGGTCCAGCAGAGAGCTCTGCTGGCCCTCCTGTCTGACTGAC